CATGAAGGGCTTTATAAGTGACGACTAGCACCTTGAAGCGTATCCGGAGACCGATAGGCAGCCAGTGCAGCTCTCCTTCTTTCTCTCTTTCTCCTTCCCTCCCTCCCTCCCTCCATCCATCCCTCCCTCCCTCTCTCTCTCTCTAAACTGAACTTTATTACAATAGGGTCTACTTTGAGAAAAGGAGGGGGAAAAAGATTGCTCTTGTCTATTTCACAGACCCTATAAATTTCTAAGCCAAGGTTTCTCAACTTTGGCAGTTTTAAGATGAGGGGATTTCAACTCCCAGAATTCCCCAGCTGGCTTAGTCGAAGTCCACACATTTTAAATTTGCCAGAGTTGAGAGGTACCATTCTAAGTTGTTGCAAAGTGCTTTAGTTTAGACTAAAGATGCTACAGAAGAGACTCCGGTTACTAGCTGGGTCACGAAACATCTGCAAGAAAACCACCAAGCTCAGAGAGCACCAAGGACCCCACCGTCCAACCTAGAGCCGCAAATATCCTCTTTTATTGAAATTCAGTCCCAAAATTTTTATTTAAAGCAAAGGCATGGGGGCAATGGAGTCAAACAGTGCTTTTCATTGGCAATAGCCAAAGGATGATAAGTAGGATTGTTATTTTGCACATCAATAGAAAAAAAAAGCCCTTCACATTTTCCCAGTTTTGGAAAAATCTGTGCCATTTTTAAAAAAAATTGTAGCATTTGGCAGAGTTAGGATTTTCTCTTTTGGGAATATTGCTAGAGTTCCTTACTGTCGGGCACATCCTACTAATTTGACAGGATCCTGTCTTTCTATAGTCCATCTTTACAAGAAGAAGGAGAAGGACGGAACTCTAGCAAATGGGAGAAGCTCTCTTTTCTATGGTGTCAAAACAGAACTCTGTGAAATCTGACAGGACATGAAGACTTTGGAACCTGTCTTGTGATATCTAATAATTATCCCTGAGTATTTATAATTGTTCTCATGACATGTAATTATGCAGATACATTTACTTGTAGCTTTCCACCTCCTGATTAACTATGCTTGTGTAAGTTTGGTAAAAGTCTCTCTCTCTCTCCTGTGTGGAGAAAAATCAGTTTGCATACTTTACATGTCACCAATGCTTTCTCTTTCTCTTTCTTTTCCTTCCTTCCTTTCTCTTTCTTCTTGCCTTTCTTTTTTCTTTCTTTCCTCCCTTTCCTCCCTTCTCTTCCTTCCTTTTTCATTTTTTTGCCTTCCTTCTTTCCTTCCTTCTCTTTCTTCCTCTCCTTTTCTTTCTTTTTTCTTTTCCTTTCCTTCCTTCCTTCCCTTTCTTCCTCTCTATCCCTTCCTTCCTTCTTTCCTTCTCTTTCTTTCTCTGTTTTGATGTACCCTTCTTCATACAAGAAATGAATGAGACACACTTTTATTGGGGTCAACAAGAATTGCCAAGAATATGGTTCTAACATTGAAGAATTCCTGATGGGTTCTTTTACATCAAAGGATGCTTGAGCCTTAATACATTTGAGAATTATATTGTAAACAAATTCACATTTGGAACTGAATAAATATTTTAAAAACTTTTAGAAAGTAAAGTTGAGCCACAGTCAACATGCTATAGTTAGGCGATCTCATATCCTGCAAGTGTATTTTATATCAATTCCTCATCAGCATCAGCAGATGATGGTTTAGGGTTAGAAAAATCCCTAAATTTTGTAGAATCAAGAGAAAGAACATGAATTAAATTTCTCCAAACTCTCCTTGTACAGACTTAGCACAGGGATGCCTGCACTTCCAATTAGCCCAGTTGTATATGTTTACAGCGGACATGGTGGCCCAGTGGCTGACATTGAGATTGTCGATCAGAAAAGTCGGCAGTTCAGCAGTTCGAATCCCTAGCACCGCGTAATGGAGTGAGCTCCCATTACTTGTCCCAGCTTCTGCAAACCTAGCAGTTTGAAAGCACGTAAAAAATGCAAGTAGACAAATAGGATCCACCTTTGGTGAGAAGGTAACAGCGTTCCGAGCACCTTCATCATTGAGTCATGCTGGCCACATGACCACAGAGACATCTTCGTACAGCGCTGGCTCTTTGGGTTTGAAACAGAGATGAGCACCGCCCCCTAGAGTCGGGAACGACTAGCACTTATGTACAAGGGAAACCTTTACCTTTACTGTATGTGTAGCAAAAGAAGATGAAACAATCATTTCAACCCTAATGTTAAAAACAGCATTCTTAAAAAAAAAATTAAAGGCCAAATCCAGGAAATGTTTTAGCATTTTCTCTAAAAAAAACCAGTTCTAGGATTATGCTGTTCGTTCATATCCTTCTGCTCCCATCAAGCTGTCCCCCAAATTTAATCTGGCAACAGTTCAAAAGTATTAATTTTAGGGAGCAAGCCACATTGTTGAAGTTTTTAGAATACTCAGTTCAAAATGTGAATCCGTTTACAATACGATTCTCAACTATATGAAGACTCAAGCATCCTTGGGTCTAAAAGAACCCATCAGGAATTCTTCAATGTTTGATCCATATTCTTGGCAATTCTTGTTGATCTCCCTAAAACTACGGGGACTAAAAAGCCATCTGCTTTCTACCTGAAATTTTTATTCCCTGCTCAGATCAAATAATCTTTCAGCTGATGAGATCTTTGCTATATTTTGAACCTTTTGACAATGGTTCTTGCCAACACCATGTCCACAAAGGCTGCCCAGCTTGGTGTTTGTAGAAAAACTATTGTATACAGGCAATTGTTTGGTTGTTCTTAAGTTTTGTTCTGGAGAAGCAAAACTATAGCCTTCCAAACCAAACATCACAATTATTGTTAAGTGTACACTTAACACTTCCTAGGAAAACCAATGCTTAATATTGCATCACGGCATTTATGAAAAAATGCTCTATTCTTATCCCAAATGTGCCGATGGGCTTTTATTTTTTTTTCATAAATGGCAACCTGTTGTCTAGAAGAGAGATTTTTTACAAAGCATATATAAAACCTGGGTAAATAACCTACATTTTCCTTTAACGCATTAGCTTTTCAGATAGCAATAGCAATAGCAATAGCAGTTAGACTTATATACCGCTTCATAGGGCTTTCAGCCCTGTTTAAGTGGTTTACAGAGTCAGCATATCGCCCCCAACAATCCGGGTCCTCATTTTACCCACCTCGGAAGGATGGAAGGTTGAGTCAACCTTGAGCCGGTGAGATTTGAACAGCCGAACTACAGAACTGCAATCAGCTGAAGTAGCCTGCAGTGCTGCATTTAACCACTGCGCCACCTCGGCATCCAGATGATTGTCCTCTGAAACATTGATGCTGCTGCTGCTCCTTATGACAAAATCTTGGTGGAATTTGGTTTTCTGCGGTCCTCACCATCTCTGCCAGTTTGATGTCTTTCAGATGTGCTATGTTTCAGCTCCAAAAACCTGCACCCATTGTGGGCAACGTCCACCATACATATGTAAGGTCTCATCTGTGGGAAGCTGTTTCACATCATCCTCTTTTAACAACCCCGTAACCCCTTGCAGGGTGGAGTCTGGGCAGCTGAATGGAACTCAGTGTTTACTGGCCAGATGTTCTCCCTGTTGCCAATGCGGAGTCTTATGAAACAGCAGATACATTCTCAGTGGGCCCAGAGAGAGAAATAGCTGCCTCCGCCTAGGATTGAACTCACAGCCTCCTGATTGTGAGGCAAGAGTGCTGCCTCTAGGCCACCACACCAGGGAAGCTGTTTCACCTTTTTTTAATGAATTGGAATCTGCTACACATAACCCTTGGCCAACGCAAGTTCTTGAGATGATAGAAGACCAAGACTCAGCTCCCAATATCGTGCAATCGTAGGGAGACCTAACAACTTTGTTGACAACGTTTTAGAAAACCCAGCTTACCTTTTGGTGAATTTTTGTGGCTTCCAATTTTGCGGAAAGTTCTGGATCAGTGATGGCAAACCTTTTAGGCATTGAGTGCGCGAAATGGCATGCAAGTGCATGCTGGAGTGTTAGAAACCAAAGGCCAGCTTGCCGGTGTGCACATGACTATTTTGGGGGTGTTTTTTGGGCCGTTTTCAGGCCATTTTGTGGCACTCCAGCACCAGAGGTGGGTTCCTACCAGTTCACACCTATTCGGTAGAACCGGTTCGTCAAATCTACCGAACCGGTTAGAAGAGGTTCCACCAGTGGACCCAGAAAGCAGGCCACGCCTACAGAAGAGGTTCCAAACTTTTTTGAAACCCACCACTGGTCCTTGGATGTGATTATTCTACACTATCATGCTCATATTTATAAAACTCAGTGCCTCTGTGAAAGGTAAGGATGACTCCTGCGTTTGTGGTGCAATCAGAACATTGCGTGTGTTGAAGTTGTTTTAACGCAAACCAAAGATGCCTTTTAAAAAACAAGTTTACATCCTATTCTTATGCATGCCAGTGCTGTGTGTGAAGTAATTTAAGGTGGTTCTGACAAGTGTCGTTGGCATCTTCATATCCGGTCACATGGGCGGCAAGCCACTCCCATCTGGTCACATGGGTGGCAAGCCACTCCCACAAAGGAGGCCACACCCACAGAGTAGGTTCGAACAATTTTTGAAACCCACCACTGTCCAGCGCCCACGAAGACCAGCACCAGAAACCAGAAGAGCAGCTGGCGACATTGCACAGGCCCACAGAGAGGGCTCGGCCTGCCACCTCTGGAATGTGCACCACAGGTTCGCTATCAGAGTTCTAGGCTTTTCAAGCCCCAACTCCCATCTGTCATTTCTGCTCTGAAACATCACCGTAACCCCCATTAAGGGGGAAAAAAATCAAGGACTTGACATTCATCCAATGTATTCCCTTTATTGAACCGTATTAGTTAATGCAATCAGATTCAGTCACATTGATAAAGCAAGATCATCCAGTTGCACTGAAACTGATGAAATTCATTTATTACATTTTTTATTTATTTATTTATTTATTTATTAATCACTGTCCGGTGAACTGGCAAATCCAATCAAAGCATTTAGTCTTTAATTGTTAAAAAAAAACAACCAACCAAAAGAAAATAGTGTAAAAAATAATATATTCAGACAATAGCCAAGCCGTCACATCACGATGCACAATTACCTAAAAATTGCAATGAAACAAACAAAGGAGAAAAAAAAAAAGCCGTTAAACAGGGAAGGGAAATAAAAATTTCAAACTGGAAGAAAGAAAGGAAAGCAAAAAAAAAAAAAAAAGAACAAAAGGAGTGGGGAGGAGGGGTAGGTTTGAGGGAATCACTCCTAAATCTAGAACTATCCGTATAATACAAGAAGCAACGAAGGAGTAAGCGCGTCAAAAGCAGAGGGGGGTTTTTTCCTTTTTTTTTTTTTTCTTTATCTAGCAACTATAAATTCAATCAGAAGCAGAAGGTTTAAAGTTCACTTAGCTCAAGCAGGACAATAAAAAATACTGCGCATGGAATACTTTTAATCTCTTCCATTAATATTCATTTCCAGCTGCTTATAATAGCAGCGCCTCATGGCCAAATCATTAGAGTTTTACATCTGGGTTGCAAATGACACTTTGATTGGATGTAATGTTCAAATGGTCCTCCCCACTGAGCTTCCGTCAAGTCCTCCGCAGAGAGGTCTCCTGTCGTGCTACGCTCACTGAGCATGCTGGCTCAACGTGTGGTTCTGGAAAGAGATGGAGAGGGGGGGGTTGGGGTTGGGGAAGAGAGAAAGGAGACGTGCGTGAGGGGCAGAATAATAGAAAGCAAACCCCGTGCCCTCCTACACAGTGGCATTTATGCAGAATTCGACATAAAAGCTTTGCAATTATTCCCGAACAAAATGCAATAAAGAGGAGCTTGAAGGTGGGATGGGGAGGAGGAGGAAGGCAGGAGAAAGGGCATGGGGGGGGGGAGGGGAGAAAGACTCCTAAGTAACAGCTGCCAATGTGACCTATTTGCTTTGTATTGGCAGATACGGTTAACGCCGGCAATGAACTTAAGGAAAAAGAGGTGGGGGAAGAAAGGAAGATGGAAAAGGGAGAAAAACACCAAGAACATTGTGCAACCAAATTCCCTTTGCCATGGACCATCTGATGGACTTCAGATCATCCAACTGGAAGGCTAACACACTGCAAGGGAAGCTGGGACAATTAAACCATGTTCTTACAACCACTTGGGGATCCCCATTTCCTCCTGGCTCTCTTCCTCATCCTCCCTTGGCATGAAGAGAACAGAACAACAGAGTTGGGAGAAACCTTGGAGGTCTTCGACTCCAACCCCCTGCTCAAGCAGGAGATCCTGTAGCATTTGAGACAAGTGGGCCGTCCAGTCTGTTCTTAAGAGCCTCCAGTGATGGAGCGCCCACCACTTCTAGAGTCAAGCTGTTCCACTGGTTAATTGTTTTCACTTTTAGAGAATTTCTCCTTAGCTCTAGGTTGCTTCTCTCCTGGATTAATTCCCACCCATCGCTTCTTGTTCTTGCTTTCTAGTGTTTTGCAGAACAGCTTGACTCCCTCTTCTTTGGGGCAGCCCCTGAGATATTGGAAGACTGCTATCATGTCTCCCCTAGTCCTTCTTTTCACTATATTCAATATATTCCAATATTCAATTCCTGCAACGGTTCTTCGTAAGTTTTAGCCTCCAGCCCCCTAATGCTCTTTGTTGCTTTTCTCTGCAATCTTTCCAAAGCCTCCACATCTTTTTTTAAAATGGGGTGACCAAAACTGGACCCAGTATTCCAGGTAGGGTTCTTATTAAGGCTTAGATCTTGAAGGGAAGCTGCCAGAAAGGACCTGAGCAAACAAGATTGGGCTATAAAATCTATTCGTGTCGGTCCAATCCAATTGTTGCAGAAGGATGAAGGAGATGCCACCAAGAGAAGGCGTGTTCCTATTGCCAATGGAGAGCCCTCAAATTCACACACCCCCAAAAGAAGTAAAACAATGTTGTAGGAGAGCAGAGTTCTGGGTGCTATGTTGTGCACAAGCCAAAGGGGTTAAACTGGCCATTTTGGCATAATGGCAGCTGCATTACCTAGGATGGATGACTCAATGGATGACCGAGAACTCGTGAAGCTTCTCTGAGCTGCTTCCGAGTTGCCATAGGCAGGGGGATGGGAAACCGTGCTTCGCAGCTGCCCTAAGGAATTTACTCCACAGTCATAAAAAGACTGTGTTGGTTATTACCTTTAAAGCCCTACATGGCTTAGGGCCAGTGTACCTGCGAGATCGCCTACTGCCACATACCTCCCAGCGGCTGGTAAGATCCCACAGATTGGGCCTCCTTCAGATGCCGTCAGCCAGACAATGTTGGCTGGCGGGTCCCCGGAGGAGAGCCTTCTCTGTGGCTGCTCCAACTCTTTGGAATCAGCTACCCCCAGAGATCTGGACCCTACCCACTCTCATGGCCTTCAGGAAAGCTGTTAAAACCTGGCTATTCCGGCAGGCCTGGGGCTGTTGACCTCACTGTTGAGGTCCAGCCCTGATTAGAATGAATGCATGTGTTGTAGATTGTAGATTGTAGAAGTTTATTTATATGCCGCCCTTTTCCCTGGGGGGACTCAGGGCGGCTCACAACCCAAGGGGGAGGGGGAGACAAACTTTTAACATATAAGACAATACATAATTAAAAACACAACATTCATACCATTCGGGCGGGTTACAGTCTTAGCCCCAGGCCTGATGGGATAGCCAGATTCTGAGGGCTGTGCGGAAGGTCTGGAGGGTGATGAGGGTACGAATCTCCACGGGGAGATCGTTCCATAGGGTTGGAGCTGCCACCGAGAAGGCTCTCCTCCGCGTAGTTGCCAGTCGGCATTGGCCGGCAGATGGAACTCAGAGGAGGCCTAATCGATGAGATCTAATAGGTCGCGTGGAGGTAATTGGCAGTAGGCGGTCTCTCAAGTACCCAGATCCACTACCATGTAGGGCTTTATGGGTGACAAGTAGCACCTTGAAGCGCACCCGGAGATCGACAGGTAGCCAGTGCAGCTCGCGGAGGATAGGTGTTATGTGTTATGTTGTGATTTTAAACTGTCTTTTCCTTATTTTTTCTTTCTCTTCCTTTCTTTTTTGTAAGCCGCCCGGAGTCCTTCGGGATTGGGCGGCATATAAATTTTAATAATAAATAAATAAAATAAATAGATAAGATGCATTCGGGTTGAACAAGTCAAGGCCCTCTCCGTGGATACTAGCAATGCCTGGAAGGGAGTGATTTCTGCAACAGCTGACATACTTTGGGGAGAGGGGGAAACAGGGTGAGAGGCCAGGCAGGAATGGGATGAAGACAGAGTTGGCTTTACCTAGGTAATGCTGGCACGGTGCTCCTAATAAAGGGCTGGATTTTTATTGCCAGATTCCTCGAGCCTCTGGATTGCGTTAAGGGCAGTGGTCGGAAACCCTGACAATGACATTTATTGCACACTTTGGCAATTAGCTCCCCCCCCCGGTTTTTTTTTTCTAATTTCCCTTAAGGGAAATATTACAGATCAGACATCCTGTCTTGTCCTCTGCCAAGACGCTAAATAAAACCTAATGTCATGCCGAAGAAGCATTTCTAATCTAATGCGAGCGGAAGTCTCAGAAGCAGGGAATGTCATCTTAAAAACCCATCTCCTCAAAGTGCAGGAGACCTCATTACTCGGATGGTCCCTCGTGCCGATGCCTACGACACCACCATCTCTTCGTGGCTTTTAGGCCTGAAACTTTCCCAGAGAAGTGGAGATGAGTTCTTGGAAAAAAGATTCATCTTGTGCTGAACAGAGATGGCAACAGAGAGTTAGTTCCTTTCAGCTCCTAATCTTTTGGGATTGTTTTTTTTCCCCATGGTAGGGCTTCTCCTTTAACATCCTCCAAGTTGGTCCTTTCTAGATGTGTTGGCCTTCAAACCCCGTAACTGAGAACTGAAACCCCGTATATCTTGAAGTCAGTGAGTTGGGGTAGTTTGCTTCTCCTTCAGCATGATTTGTAAAAGCATGGGGTATTGCTGCTTCTCCAGACGGAAGACTGTTAGTATGGGGTTCTTGGTCTCGCTTGGTTGTTTACTGGCAGGCATTTCATGACCCAACTAGGTGACACCATCAGAGCAAGGGAGTGTAGAATTAGCATTGATGGTGTTATCTAATGAAACATCAGCTCAGAAACTACCAAGAATTCCACAGCTCAACCCTGAGCTACACATATTCCTTTCTATTGAAGACTGTGGCCTCGATCCAAAGAAATAAGTTATTGAAGTGAAATTATCAGATTCCCTACTACTGCTAAAATCCTATATCTATATCTATATCATCTAATCTATCTATTTCCACCTCTATCTCTATCTATCACTATCTATCTCATCCATCCATCCATCCATCCATCTGTATCAATCTATCTATCTATTTCTACCTCTACCTCTATCTATCTATCTATCTATCTATCTATCTATCTATCTATCTATCTATCTATCTATCTATCTATCTATCTATCTATCTATCT